AGGTCAACCGTTGTACCAGCCTCTGAGCGCTCCGGACATGCGGTTATCGCTTTGCACCAGCATTAAAGGTTCAGGGTTACCACTGTGTCAACTCACAAAGGATAAGTTCTTCTCTCTTTCCATTGCCCCAGTTGATTGGGTTGTTTCTTTTTTTTAATTAATTAACGAAAAGCAAAGAAAAAATTCTAAAGGAAGGAGAGGAAAATGAAAAACAGAGAGGAAGGAACAGAAATATTCCAAAGGAATACTTACAGACCAATAGAAGGCAATATTTGCAGCTCAGGTTGAATTGTTGCTTTCTGAGCTGCGTGGTTTTCTTGCAGACATTTCATGACCCAGCTAGGTAACATCATCAGTGCTAGAAGGCAGGAGGGGTTGTGGAGAGGAGGAGGAAGAGGAGGAAGACTGTGGGGTCCTTGGTGCTCTCTGAGCTGGGTGGTTTTCTTGCAGACATTTCATGACCCAGCTAGGTAACATCATCAGTGTTAAAAGGCAGGGGGGTTATGGAGAGGAGGAGGAGGACTGTGGGGTCCTGGCTGCTCTCTGAGCTGGTTTCCTTGCAGACATTTCATGACCCAGCTATGTAATATCATCAGGGCTAGAAGTGGACGGGGGGGGGGTTGTTGCTCTTTAGGACAAGCCACTTGCATATAAATGGACAGCAAATCTTCCTCAGCTCTCCCAGCATCTATTGTAAAGCCCGGCCCTGAAGCTGTGCAGGCGGTGCTGTTTAACCAACGCTACCCCTGCAAAGCTCAGCCTTTACTCTAGTTTGCAATGCTTTATGATGACATAGATCCTAATAAAAGTTTATTACACGTTTCATGCTTGTTTTCCTAAACACTATAGAGCAAGGGTGTTCAGCCTCGGCAACTTTAGGACTTGTGGACTTCAACTCCCAGAATTCTGGGAACAGGTCTTAAAATGGCCAAGATTGGACCGTCGCTATACAACCTCACCGCATTAACACAGTCAAAAGGGGGGAAAAGAGGCAATTCACCCAACAGGAGCTGTTCTCCCCCCCCCCCCCGCCAAGAAAAGGGTCTCCCCAGCCAACATTGTCTTTTTGGTTGCTCCTAGGAGGGGAAAAAGGGGGGGGCACATTTTAGTTTCCATATGCAGAGCGGCTGCCGATTCTCCCTCGCAGGGAATGAAAGCTTATTCAATCTCCCCCCCCCCCCATGGATGCTGGTTCTTAGGTGTGCCTCTTAGCGTGCCGGTTACGGCTGATGGTTAGGGGAGTCCAACAAATTCCTCTTTCCTTTTTTTTCAAGCTTGCACAGATGCAGATTCCGGCTTCCTCTTCTGCTGTTGCAACCGTCTGGAGCTGCTGTTAATTCCCGCCCCCCCTTGCATCAGCCAGTTGAGGAAGTGGGAGGGCTGCTTGCTTCAGGGCACGACAGAGTCCTCTCCCCTTGCATCAGCAGCCTGCACAAGCTGCAGCCCCATAGCAAACCTTAGAACATAAGAATCCTAAGGCTGTAAGGGACCTCAGAGGTCTTCTAGTCCAGCCCCCGCCTGCTAAAGGCAGGAGACCCTTATACCATTCCGAACAAATGGCTGTCTGTTGTCTTTTCTTGAAAACCTCCAGTGATGGAGCACCCACAAGTTCTGGAGGCAAGCTGTTCCACTGGTGAATTGTTCTCCATTGTCAGGAAATTCCTCTAGTTCCAGGTTGCTTCTCTCCTTCATCAGTTGCTTCTTGTCCTGCCTTCAGGGGCTTTGGAGAATAGGTTGCCCCCCTCTTCTTTATGGCAGCCCCTCAAATAGATACACTGCTATCATGTCACCCTCAGTCCTTCTTTTCATTAAACTAGACATACCCAATTCCTGCGTTCTTGGTATGTTTTATTTAGCCCATTACAATCCTTCAGGCTGGCAATCCTTTTTCTAAGGAAACCCCAGATTTAAGGTCTGGGCACCTTCCTGTGATGGTTTCTGAAACACCACATGGCCCGTCTTAACTTAGCCTAGCCTAGCGTGTTGTGTGAATGTGGAATTTCTCTTCGCCCCAATGCAGGGTCGTCCTCTTCCTCTGCTTTACAGGTGTTTCACTTCAGGATGGAAGACTTCGGATACAATCAGGGGTCTGCAAAGTCTGGGCAACGACACCTGCAAGGCTGCAGATGTATACAAAACAAAGCTTCGATTGCAGCATCACGGTCGCGAGTCCAGGACAGCTGGCGGTTTAGGTTCTGCTTAGCAAGTTGTGTAAATGGGTGCAGGGGGCTAAGCTAACATGCAACCCCAGGCAGTTGTGGGTTGACAAGCCACGGTTTTGCAGGCTGGACAGCGTCTGCACAATTTCAAAGAGTGGCTACATTTCCACCATCGGGGAGTTAGGAAAGGGTGTGTCCTGTTTCTTGGCTGCCGAACCTGACATCCTGGCCTGTTGTTCCATGTCATCGCTGGGTTGTTTTGCCAATAAAAGGCCGCCCCTGTTTTCAGGCAGAACCGGCTGATCAACAAACATTGCTACCTGGCGTTGGACCTTGCCAGGAAATCAGGATCAAGGGCAGTTGATCCACCACTTCAAGGGCAGGGCCCTACCATTCGGCCTTTCTTCCGCCCCCAGGGTCTTCACCAAGATCCTGGCGGTGCTGGCAGCCCCCTTGAGGTTGGCTCCGGTGCACGTCCAGTGTTACCTGGACGACATACTGATCCAATCACATTCAGTCACGACTGCCCAGTCGGACTTGGCCCTCACTGTCGAAACTCTCCAGAACCACGGGTTCTGGATCAATTTCAAGAAGAGCCAGACATCCCCCTCGACCCACCTGTTACACGTGGGCGTGGTAATAGACATGGACCCTTGCCACGTGTTCCTGTCAGAGGAACAGCGCAGGAGCATCAGGGATCTGGCCCTCCGAGTGCGCAGGAGCAAGGCAGTGACACTAGCTAGCCTTTCCCAACTCCTGGGGAAGTTGATATCCTGCACATCGACAGTACCGTGGGCCCGGCTAGAGGGCACCCTTGGGGGATCTTCCCTAAACATGCAGAAGCTTTTTTAAAAAAAAGATGCTTGAAAAAATACCCAGATCCCAGAAAGGCTCCATCTACCCATGTCATCTATCCATCCGTGTCTGTCTGTCTGTTTATCTATCAATCATCTATTCATATTTTAAATCTGCCCATCTCCCTCACAGAGGATCCCTGTGCAGTGAGCACAAAAAAAACTACATTATTTATAAAGAGATGCATGATTGCAGGACTGGAACTTTAAACTGCGCATTTCCGCGCCTGCTGATGGGTGGAGTGCAAGCCTGCCTTGACTTCCTAGGGGCATCCCCTTCGCCCACAATCACTTCCCCAATCAGTTGCCCTGCAGAGCATTTGGCCCGTTGCCTCTAGAGCTCAACCTCAAGGATGTGTGGACTTCAGCTCCCAGAATTCCCCAGCAGCAGGAGACGGGGAGTTCTAGTCCGGCCTTAGGCATTGAAAGCCGGCTGGGTGACTTTGGGCCAATCACCAGGAGACGGTGAGTTCTAGTCCTGCCTTAGCTGTGAAAGCCAGCTAGGCGACTTTGGCCAATCCCTCTCTCTCTCTCTCAGCGTAACCCAGTTTGCAGAGTTGTTGCTGTTGAACAGAAAAGAACGTCGTGCAAGGCTGCTGCCTTGTGTTACTCATAAAATTATTGCTCATGAAGTTAATAACGGCAGGATAAAAACCAAATCAATAAAATAGAACAAGGCACTAAATCAACAGCAAATGGCCCCGAACTTAAACCCAGACAATCTTGACTTGTTCAAATCGTGGCCATTGGGTGGGATGCGTGAACCAGGCTGCAGGAAGTCCCAGTGATGGGCAGAGGACTAAAAAAGCGCCCCCTGGTGGCCACCGATCCTCAACCTGGGCAAACTTGGCAAGGCGGTTGGTCACCAGGTCCAAGGACAGAGCTGACCAATCACCAGACAACATCTTGGGTTTGGCCACCCTCCTTACTACTGCAGAGGTAATGTGGAAGGTGAACAGGGAGGCAATTTGCTCTCCCGGAGGCATTTTACAGCCCAATGTTCCTGCTGATCCAAAATATCTTTGATAGATGCACAGCAGGGTCATTCCGACCTAGAAGAGTCTTAACAATTGCTGGGTGTGCATGCGAACATGCGACACGCCTGTCTGGACTAGGGCTCACAATCGCAGGTTCCTCCTCGCCTGGCCCACCAGCCATCTGCTATCAAGAGAGAGGTGGAGTTTACTTGGGAATTTCAAATAAATGTTATTTATTGATTGTGGGGAAAAGGCCAGTCTTGCCAGGAGAAAGTCAAAGAGCTTGAACGCTGTCTCCATGAACCACGTAACCCTGGATCACTGATCAGGGTTTGGCCCATCTATTTTCCTTTTTTTAAAAAAAAATATATGTTATTTTCATCTTTTATAATGTTGTTTTGTAAGATCGTAAGCTGCCCAGGCCGCATGAGAATGAGATGGGCGGTGAATAAATTGAATATTTTTACTGAAGCCTAAGCAAGGAAACCAGATGGACCTCTGGGATCTTAGAGCAGCGGTGCCCAGCCTTGCCAACTTTTAAGGCTTGTGTCCCAAAAGTGCTTTTTCAAAAGGCAACTTGATTTTTCTTTTTCCTTGAGGATGTTTTGCTTCTCATCCAAGAAGCATCTTCGGTCCTTCAACTCCCAGAATTCCTCAGTCAGCCTGTTTCATGCTGGCTGGGGAATTCTGGGAGTTGAAGTCCACCCATCCTAAAACATGCTGTCGGGAGAATTCTGGGAGCTGAACTAGCTTAAAAAGTTCCTGACATTTTGTTCATTTATTTCGTTATTAAATTTAATTTAGGTTGAACAATTCTGCGTTGGACTATTTAACATGGAGAGCACAAGAAAACCTGGTTTATAGGGTTCAGTAAGGGGAGACAGGCCTGCACGGAGTGGTGGACTATCAAATATTATGGAATGGGTTCATAAACTTTGCTAACGGGCAACTCAGTGCTCCCTCTTGCCTAGCAGTTCTTGGTCTGGCACATACAAAACACCGAAACAAAACACAATTAATTGGATTTGTTAGATTAATCGAAGCGAACACGGGCTGGGGAAGCAGCGCTGCATTGTTCCTCCAGAAACAGGCCAGGATTTAAATGAGCAACTTCCTCCCTTTCTAGTGTTGGATGGATGGTTTATTTCAAGACATCACTTTACTGGCAGTCGAATTGCTCAAATCCACTTATTACAGGTGCCTGTACTCACACTCACACGTACTCAAACACACACACGCACAAAAGACGTGGTCCCTCTTCTGCAGATGCAGCAGCACAAGATGTTGACGTGGATGGCCAGATGGGGAGGGGGCAGCAGACCAACAACAGGGAGAGTGGAGAGCAGTGGGAGATCAAATGGCAAGGCGGGTGGGTGGGTGGGAGAAGGAGCTCTCTCTCCTCTTCAACCCTCCCCCCTTTTGAGCAAAGAAGCGAGCCTAACCTGCCAGCTCTCCCTCTTCCACAGGGACCCCACTTTCCAGGCAGGGGGGGAGCAACAGAGGAGATACTCCAATGCAGACCCCTTCCCCAAAAACGCTTGCTCCCTGCCAGCCTTCAGCTCTGGGTTATGGGGGGAGCAAGTCTCTGATTTGGGGCGCCGGAAAGGAAGAGAGGTGGGGCTGGCAGGAAGCGGCAGGGTCTGAAGAGGAGAAGGACCCCCAACGAGGCCGTGGACAAGCCCCGCCCCCACAGATCATTCCAACGACTGCAGCATCAGAAGCTGCTTCAGCACCTTCGTCTGGCTGGTTTCCCGGATTTCTCCAGCGAGGAACATCTCATCCACCACCGTGTAGACCTGCAAGGGAGCAGAGGGGGCTGATGAAATGGGTGGGGGGGCAAAGGGTCCTACGCAGGAGAGACCACCGAGGAGGGCTGCCGGCCTTGGAGCAGCCTAGCCCAAGTCTGTCCCACTCGCTCGAAGATGAGTGGCAAATAAATAAATATATTGGATAAATCCCAGGTCTAGTTTGGATCCTGTGGGCTGAAGAATTTCAGCTGGGGAGTCCCAGAAGAGCTTTTTCTGCCACAGCCCCCCCGCCCTCTGGAATACAGGCAGTCCTCCACTTACAACAATTGAACCCATCATTTCCGTTGCTAAGTGAGACAGCAGTGGAGTGAGTTTCCCATTTTTGTGACCGTTCTCGCCACAGTTGTTAAATGAATCACTGCAGTGGTTCAGTTAGGATCACGGTCGTTAAGCGAATCTTGGCTTCCCCATTGATTTTGCTGGTCAGAAGGTCGCAAAAGGGGATCACGTGACTCCCGCGAGTGGCTGAATTTTGAACACATGACCACAGGAGATGCCCAAACAGCTGTGTGAAAAATGGTTGCAAGGCACTTTTCCCAGTGCTAGCCTAACTCTGAACGGTCTCATCACAAAGTGGAGGACTCCCTGTATTCTCCCTCCCTCGGCCCCCACCCTCCTGGCCTTCCGGGAGAGCCTTAAAAACTGGCTCTGCTGGGGACCCCAATTGGGGGGCATTCTACACTGGGGATGGCTATTGGGGTAGACTGGGGTAGGCCACCTTGGCTCTTTTATGACTGGTGGACTTCAACTCCCAGAATTCCTGAGCCAGCCTGGCTCAGCTTGGAAACTTCTCCTTTTCCCCTCAGCACGGCTGGCTCAGGAATTCTGGGAGTTGGTCCACCAGTCATAAAAGAGCCGAGGTTGCCCACCCCTGGCCTAGGCCTGTATTTCTCAACCTTGGCCACTCGGAGATGGATGGACTTCAACTCCCAGAATTCCTGAGCCAGCATGGGGGAACTATGGCCCCCTCATGACTTGCGGACTTCAACTCCCAGAATTCCTGAGCCAGCATGGGGGAACTATGGCCCCCTCATGATTCGTGGACTTCAACTCCCAGAATTCCTGAGCCAGCATGGGGGAACTATGGCCCCCTCATGATTCGTGGACTTCAACTCCCAGAATTCCTGAGCCAGCATGGCTCAGCTTGGAAACCTCTCCCTTTTCCCTCAGCATGGCTGGCTCAGGAATTCTGGGAGTTGAAGTCCACCAGTCATAAAAGAGCCAAGGTGGCCTACCCCTGGGGTAGACAGAATAGCAGAACAACAGAATTAAGAGAATAGCAGACTCGGAAGGGACCTTGGAGGTCTTCCAGTCCAACCCCCTGCTCGAGAAGGAGATCCTATGCCTTTTCAGATAAACGGCTGTCCAACCTCTTCTGAAAACAAGTAACGAACTCCCACCTTGTAGAAGTTGAAGACCAGGTCGAGCTCGCAGACGTTGTGAAAATACTCATTCAGAACCTGAGGGGAGAGGGAGAAAAAGGCCGGTTGAACGTGGGGCTTCAGCCTGCGCACGAGGTGGGCGGGAAGTAGGGTGCAACCCCGGGGGCCGAGGACACCTTGCTGCAGAGCAGGGGCTGTTCCTGCAAGAGGCTGTCAGGTACACATCAGCCCCGTTTTATCAACTAGCCCAAGGGTAGGCAACCGTGGCTCTTTTATGACTCGTGGACTTCAACTCCCAGAATTCCTGAGCCAGCATGGGGGAACTATGGCCCCTTTAAGACTGGTCAACTCCCAGAATTCCTCAGCCAGCATGGCTCAGCTTGGAACCTCTCCCTTTCCCCTCAGCGTGGCTGGCTCAGGAATTCTGGGAGTTGAAGTCCACGAGTCATCAAAGAGCCAAGGTTGCCTACCCCTGGGCTAGCCTTTTGTGCAAACGCTGAAAGGCAGCAAGAAGGCGGGGAGCAGAAACAGGCTTGGTATTGCTACACCAGACCACGCCTGTCCCCATCAGGTCGTCGTTGCAGGCGGTCCTCGACTTACGACCACAACTGAGCCCAACTTTTCCATTGCTAAGCGAGACCTGCGTTAAGTGAGTTCTGCCCCCTTGGACGGCCTTTCTCGCCACAAGTTGTTAAGCGAATCGCTGTGGATGATAAATGAGTAACCCAGTTGTGAAGGGACTCTGGCTTCCCCGTTGACTTGGATTGCCAGAAGGCCGCAAAGGGGGATCAAGTGACCCTGCAGCCGTCGTAAATGTGAGTCAATTGCCAAGCATCCGAATATAAATCAGGTGACCACAGGGATACTGCAAGGATCATTAAATAGGAAAAACAGTCGTTAAGTCACCTTTCTCGGTGTCACTGTAACTTGGAAAGGTCACTAAACATTTGCAAGTCGAGGACTAACTGTATTACTCTTGTATCCACTTATCTGGAACGGTAGAACTTCCAGAACCGCTGCGCAAAGACAGATGTTCACCGGCCTGTGAGGGAGACAGGCCTGCTTTGCAGCTGGACAGGCCCACACTCACCTCCACAAAGTTGTGAATGGCCTCGAGGTAAGCTAAGTTGTTGTCGTTCACATCCACGCAGATGCAGAAATAGAGCCCAGCATAACGCCGGTAGATGATCTTGAAGTTGCGGAACTGGGGGGAAAGAAGCCAAACCGCCATCAGGGCAAGGAACACAAACACGGGTGTCCGTTAGAAGCAGGACAATGCCGGTCAAGGGGGATGGGGAAGACTGGGCTTATCTGCTGGTTCTACCACCAGGCCACGATCCTCTTCTCAACACGAACAAACCTGCTTTATGCAAATGTTTGGTCAAATGGCTCCTAGCAAAGATGGGTTTCACCAGCCTTAAAAGATGCTTATCCTTCTGTCATTTGTGTTAGTCTTTCAACACTTCCCTTGTAGGTCACACCACAGAGAGTAGAACTGCCCTGGTTTGAGAGGGAGATGCCCTGAGGCCATCAGTTTGGTCTAATGGTTAAGGTGCTGGCCTAAAATCCAGGAGGTTGTGTGTTCTAGTCCTGCCAGCTAGGTGACTTTGGGTCAATCACCAGGAGATGGTGAGTTCTAGTTCCATCTTAAGCATGAAAGCCAGTTGGGGGACTTTGGGCCAATCAGAAGGAGATGGTGAATAGTGAATAGAGTTGGAAGGGACCTTGGAGGTCTTCTAGTCCAGCCCCCTGCTCAAGCAGGAGAACCTATACCATTTCAGAAGTGACTGTCTAATCTCTTCTTAAGTGAGTTCTAGTTCTGCCTTAGGCATGAAAGCCAGCTGGGTGACTTTGGGCCAGTCACTCCCTCACAGCCCAGCCCACCTCCCAGGGTTGTTGTTATGGGGAGAACAGGGGGAGGGATTATTATGTATATTCGCCGCCTTGAGTTATTTGTAAAAACAATAAAGGCAGGATAAAAATTTAATAAATAAATAAGGCCACAAATGTACTACCTCCACAAAATTAGTGTGCTTCGCATCTCGGACGGTGACCACTGCATGCACCTCCTCGATCAGCTTTTGCTTCTCGTCATCATCAAACTGCATGTACCACTTGGCCAGGCGGGTTTTGCCAGCCCGGTTCTGAATCAGGATAAAGCGAATCTGTAAAAGAGGAACCACAAACAGGGCTGCCTGTAATCCAGAATCCAAATAAGCATTCAGCTACAAGCAGCGAAAAGCTCCCACTTGCAGTGCAGAACTCCTGTGGGTGCTGGGATCCTCCAGCTAACATCAGGAGCTGCTACAAAACCGTTTGTTTCCTCTTTGGTCTCCATTTAGCAGACCTAATTACTGCCTGCTTCCTCTTGGCATCTTTGGCTGCACAAATTGCACACTGGAGAATGGGGCATTTTTCCAAAGGACTGCAAAAACCTTGCTAGTCTGACCCCATTTTTGCTTAGCTCCACTTTCCAACTGTGGAGCTAAGATAGGGAAGTGACCCACCCTAATCAAGAAAGCCAGCCCAGCACAAACAGCAAAGGCTTGTGATCTCTTCCAGCACCAAACAAGACACGTTTTCTTCTGATTCCAGGAATAAGACAAGCAGTTTTACATCCTGGTTAATCAGGCAATCTCCACAGCACAAGAGGGTAGAACAGCAATGGCCTGTTTGCCAAATTAAAAAAAAAAAAGTCAGATGTCACCTCAAGGGAATTTTCACAAGACAGATAATCCTCGACTTACTATTCATTTAGTGACCATTCAAAGTTACAGCGGCCCTAAAAAAGTGACTTATGAATGATTTTCACACTTACGACCACTGCAGCACCCCATGGTCACATGATCAAAACTCATTGGCACCTGACTCATACTTATGGCGGTTGCAGTGTCTCGGGATTGTGTGATTCCCTTTTGCGACCTTCTGACCAGCAAAAACAATGGGGAAGCTAGATTCACTTAACAACCGTGTTACTAATTTAATAACTGCAGAGATTTAGTTAAGAGCCATAGCAAGCAAAAGGACTGAACTACTATCTTGCTTAACAGAAATTTGGGCTGAATTGTGATCCCTGTAGTTTGGATTTTAGTGCCTCTCCTCTTTTTCATCACGCTGGCTGGGGATGATAGGAGCTGTGTGTGTGTGGGGGGGGCAATATCCCTAGCAAAATACGGTTAGCCTACCTTCCAGGGCTGTTGTAAAGATCCAGAACTGGATTTTTTTGCCCCTGGCCCACTTCTGAACCTCTTTTACCGGGGGATGCCCCTCAGAATCTCTGCCATTTCACAGATGTTGTGATAAACGGGAATAATGTTTAATATTTTGCCTGCTGGGAAGGGGGGGGGAAGGGCAGAGAAGGGGGGAGATTGGGGCAGCTAGGGTTGGGTGGCCCCTAGGAATAGGGCCTGGTCTAGGAGGGGACTTAGGCCCACGCTAAGACCCCCTACTCGTCCCCCCGACCAAAATAATGGCATTATTAGGGTTTATCACGACACCAAGCAAGCCCCCCCCGTTTCTCCCCCGCCTGGAAGCCTCGCTGCTGCAGTGACCCCTCCCGCCTCCTTAAAGAGACCCCCGCCCCTTCTTACCATGACGGCTCCCGAGTCCCCCTCCTCCTCCTCCTCCTGCTGCCCGCAGAGCCCCTGGCAAGCTGCTTCAGCCCCCCGACTCTATTCTGCCTTCCTACCGGATATTCGATAGGGCGGCTGCCAAGCACTCAGCCGGTCGGGAGTTGTAGTCTAAATGCAGGAAGGAACCGGAAGAGGAATGAAGCACTCCGGGTCAGGCCTCGCGCCAGCAAGGAGCCTATAGGATTGTTTTCCAGGCCGGGCGGGCCACGCGACGGCTGCGCTGCATGCCGGGAGCTGTAATTTCTTTGGGTTGGGAGAAAAAAAAGTGTGCCGATCGCTTCCAGTAGGGGGAGCCCGTGTTCCGTGATGTTCGCACGAAGCCGGGGACTCGTGTGGCAGAAGGAAACTGAGCGAGTGACGCCTCAGACGCTGCCTGGGCTGAACTTTAACCCCAGGCTCAGCCGGGCCTTGTAGGCCCAAGGTTTCTGCAACGTAACGCAAGAGGGTGCTGCGATCTAGAGGGAATAGGAGACATGCTTGGAAATACTGTAGTCATCCTGATAGACCTCTCGCTTGAGAACTTCAACTTTTCATGGGAACAAAATAATAATCTCAAATAATGGAGGCAGATTGTTGTAGAGCATCTCCTGCCCCAATGGGTGTTTGTCACCCTAAAAAAGGAAAATTTGGTTCCCCAGGGATTCAAGCTGCAAAAATAGGCCAGTTTTGCATCCTAAGCAAAGGACTACCTGAATTAATCATTCTGAGAAACATGCAGTGCAACTTCCTGGAACTTTGTGGTATAGGCTACAGTCCTAAGTAGCAAACTAGATAGATGAGAGCGGGCATCATAATTTCAAAAGCCACTTGGGGAATTTTCTGGGAGATTTCCAGCCCTCTTTAGGAAATGGGTTTGGAAGAGACCACATGGTAGAACACAAAGTCCACATCACCTGCCGTTAAAAAGATCAAGAAGCAGAGGATGGAAAAGACTGCTGTGAACAGTTGTGCTGTTCTTCACCGAATCTACAGCGTTTTTCTCCGACGTGCTGTTGCCCAGGTGTGTTAAAAATCCCATTTTAGAGCCGAAGTCCATCTCTTTCAGAGGGCGGCAGGAAAAAGGGAAAAAGAGAGCCCTGGGTGCCAGCCACTACATCGTGCCATCTGGAATGTCACTTGCCCACTCTAGAATGCCCACAGGGAGAACCGTATTTGTTTTGTTTGTTTATTTTAAAGATTCCTGGGCAAAGCTCAGGTTTGTGACAAGGCAGGTTTCCAATCTTGCGGTCTGTGAGTCAGAATAAGAAATCTTGATTTAAATCCCGAAAGATCACCCCCAAAACCATGGACTTTGGCTGAAAAGTAATTGATCTCAGCAAGATCTTCACTTTTTGGTTGCTTTTCTCCTGCTGTGGAAAACATGTCTATGGGTCTTCCCTTTGCTCCCCCACCCATTTTTTTCCAAGTACTGGTAGTCATCAATTCCACAATTGTGCCCAAACTTCAAGATCCAATCTGGGTTAGTCACCAGGACCAGAGGTTTATTTTTCTGAGCTTTCGGACCCGTGCTGGAGCCCATGTTCAGGGAACTTTTCTCTACTGGAATATGGGTTAATTATGGGTTTATTAACATATTCTAGTAAAAAGAAGTTCCCTGAACATGGGCTCCAGCACGAATCCCAAAACTCGGAAAAGTAAACCTCTGGTCCAGGTGACCGATCCGGATTGGATCGTGCAACATTATCCTGGGACATGTATGTTTGCCTTCATTTGTGAGCCCAAATTTTCCATTGCTAAGCAAGACAATTGCTAAGTGAGTTTTGCCCCATTTTATGGCCTTTCTTGCCACACTTGTTAAGTAACACAATTGTTAAGTGAATCTCACTTAACCACTGCCTTGCTTGGCAACAAAAAACTTGGACTCAGTTGTGGTTGTGAGTCAACATCTGCACCAAGAATTATCCTCATAACTGCTCTTTCAGCTTAATTCCCTGTGGAACCCCAAACAGGACCTCCCCAGTTTATCTTCATACCTGGGTTGAGTGGTCCTTAATTAGCTCCTAAGCAATTAGTATTTGAAATCCACAAGTCCTAAAAATTGCCAAGTTTGGACACCTCCGATCTAGCACAGATAATAAATAAGTGAAATTGGTTGTGGTTTAACGTGCTGGATGAACTCTGCTGTTATTATTTAATCAATTCTGATTTAAGCAAGCCACAGTTTAGCATAACATATAAACCAGCTGTCTGCTTTTGGTGGCACTCCCAAGTATTGCACGAAGATTTCTAGCCTAAATCGGGCACGGACAAATCATGCAGCCTATTTGTGTATGATGGGTTCCTTGTTCTATCCAACTTTTATAAATTAAGATAATAGTGGTAATGTTTCCGCAAAGGTTCTTTTAATTAACATATAAAATTAACAAATATGAAACAAGAGGCTGGTTCACAGCAGAGCAAAGCAGCAGTTTCCACCATGAGCTTAATTCAGAAAATTGCCTTTGGGCCTCATTGAAACTTAGAGAAATTTAGAGAAAATAAAAATGGTGTCGGTGTGGTGCAGCCCAGGTTTTTATCTAGGAGAGTGCCTATTTGCCCAGAAATAGAGCCAAGCTGGCACCTTGGAAAATAGGGGAGGAGGAGAACAACATCGACTGTGGGGACCTTGGTGCTCTCTGAGCTTGGTGGTTGTCTTGCAGAGGTTTCATGACCCAACTAGGTAACACCATCTGTTTCAGTACCAAGAAAAAATAACACCCCACCCATTTATAAGACAAGCTGCTAGTATACAAAGAGAGGAACCCCCCTCCTCCCTTACAGCACTGATGACGTTCCCTAGTTGGGTCATGAAACGTCTGCAAGGAAACCACCCGGCTCCGAGTCCCCCAGGGACCCCGCAGTCCTTGCCCGTTCCCAGCATCGGAGCCCCCTGCAGAGGCGGGCCTTCACTCAGGGGTCCCAAGGCAGAGACGGGGCTGCCCACCAAAGGCACCAACCGGGATGAAAGCAGCCCCGGGGGCGGGGAGGGCAAGTCAACCCTGAACGGCCGGGCGGAGGAAGGGCGCCGGGGTCGGCGAGGCGCCACCGGAACAAAACCCGGTGGCGGCGGCGAGGAGAGTCTGGGGGCGCCGCGGCCAGACCCCTTTTTCTTCCCCCCACCTCCCGGGAAGGGCCCGGAAGAACCCACCAGGTCCTCTCCGGGGGTTGGGTGGTGGGCTCGGCCGGGGGGGGGTTCCACCCCCCGCGAAACACCCCTTCCCCAGGAGAGAACGAGCCTCCGCGTGCGCGTGCGCGCCGCTGCCGCCGCGTTCCAGACTCCGGCTTCGACCCCCCCCCCGCCTCACGCGCGCCCTTCTTTCCCTCCCCCCTCCCTCCCCCTCGTTCGTGCGCGCCCCCGCCCGGCAGAGCCGACCCGCCCCCGCCCGGCGCGGGCCGAGAAAGGCGGGGCCACCCCGGCGCAGGCGCGTTCTCTCCCTCGGCGCTCCGTTCCGGGGGCGCGCCCGCATTCTCTCCTCCTCGGGCCGTAGCGTCGGCTCCGCCCCCCGCACGGCCCCGCCCCCCCGCTCGCTCTCCCTCTCAGGGTCTGCCGGCGGCGCGAGCCGCGGCTCCTGCGCCAAGGATCGGCCTGCTTGGGCGCGCGTGCGCGCTAGTGTCGGCGCGCGCGGCCCCTCTGAGACGCACGCGGCCCCGCGCCCCGTCGCTTCTCCCTCAGTCGATGGTTTCGCTGCCGCCGCCGCCGCCGCCCCTCAGCGTGAGGCGAAGGCGCCTCCTCGGCCTCTCCCGCCGCCGCCCCCCGCCCGCCGCCCGGCCTTCCTCTTCGTCCCTCGCGGCGACCGGGTGAAGGAAGGCAGGAAGGGCGAGCGAGCGAGCGAGGAGGGAGGGAGGAACATGGCGCCGCCTCCTCCACCCTCGCCGCCGCCGCTTCGGGTCCTCGTCCGCCCCGCCCCGAGAGCCCGGCCTGGCCCGGCCCCGCCGCCCCCGACCCGGTGAGTTGACTCGCCTCGCCTGCCGCCGCCGCCTCGGCCCGACGGAGGAACAATGAGGGAGAGGAGGAGGCGGGGGTCCCGGGGGAGACCCTTCCCCACGGTGCCCTCCCCCGGACCGCTGCCGGCGGGCGGGGGAGCCCTGGCGGGGAAAGGGAGGCGCCCCTCGGAGGGAGGGAGGGAGGAAGACCCTTCCCCGCCTCGGGGAGGGCCAGGTGCGTCCTCCCGCCCCCCCCACGTCGGGGATGCAGCATGGGGGGGAGGGGGATGCAAGGAGGAAATGGGTGGCCCCTCCCGGCCGCCCCCAGGCTCCAAAGGGGGCATCCCTGGCTGGGGGGGGGCTGCCTGTCTGGCTGCCCCCTCCGGGGGGGAGAAGAGCCCCCCCTCTGCCAGACTTACCCCCCTCCCTGCAAACCCAGCGCCGGCGCCTTTTCATTCGGGGCCCGGCTTGGATATGCCGGGCGGACCCAGACAATGCGGGGCCTGGAGTTCCCCGGGTGCTGTGATTGGAGGGCGGGGGGGGGCTGGAATTGAGGGGAAAGGGGAGAAAGTGTGAGGGACAAAAGGCCACTGCTGTTGCTTTGGGTGCGCATTGGGGGGGGCTGGGAAGGAGGGACCATTTGCTGGTGGGGGGGGGAGAGAAAAGGCTCAACTAACCTCTGTCAACCATCAGAAAACAGCCAGAGATCCGTTTGGAGCAGCAGCAGCAGTAGCGAGAGGCTGTGATCTGCTTGTGATCCTCTTGCTCTGGGAATGTTGGACAGGAACTGGGAACCACAATTGGGGGGGGGGGTCCTTGGGTCCTCCGGATGAACAGCTGGAATTCCATATGGTCCTACTTTGCCACTGGGAAGGAGGGCTTCCTCCAGCCCTGCTCTCTCAAGGAAATGGGAATTCCTTTCTCCTAAAGTTGAAGAAGTTGGAATACAGATAATCAGTCCTCGGTTTACAACCATTGGTTTCATGACAGTTCGAAGTTACAATGGCACTGAAAAAAGTGACTTATGACCATTTTTCACATTTAACAACCATTGCAGGATCTCCGTGGTCAAAATTCGGTCGTTTGGCAACTGGCATGTATTTATGAGAGTTGCGCTGTCCTGGGGTCATGTGATCGCCATTCGCAACCTTCCCAGCTGGCTTTCCATGAGCAAAATCAATGGGGGAAGCCAGATTTTGCTTAACGACCCACACGATTCACTTAACAACTGTAGCGATTCACTTAACAACCATAGCAAAAAGGTCACAAAATGGGGCAGGACTTGCTTAACTAATTCCTTGCTTAGCGGTGGAAAGGTTGGGCTCGATTGTAGTCACAAGTCTGTATGTTGAGATAATGTGTTTGCTGCAGAACTGAAATGAATGTTGGGATTCCAAGGTAATCCATGGGAATTATATCTATTGCCCCAGTTTTAGAACTGAGGGCTCATTTGGGGGGACAGGGTCCATACCGCTTCATTGTGAGCGTGTTGTCTCCCCCACCTTCACTTTCCTGTTGCCTAAAATGGTAGACCAAAATTGGTTTCACACTTCTCTGCACAGATTTAGTATAATGTTCAAAATAAGGCTCAGTTAGGGCCTACCTGTGTGAGAGCAGTAAATGAGGTGCTGTTTTCTGCATCTCTCAGTTTTTGCTTCCATCTGGCTCTCCTGGGAACATCATCTCCAAACTCTCTGCAGAATAGCATCCTTTGGCTATTTGTAGTCATCCTTTCTGCAAGTCAGTAATGCTTAGGAAGCAAAAAGAGGTTTTCCTTAACTTGTGGCTGCAAATTAAAATATGATATTTTGTTTGATGCGGTAGAATTTATCAGGATGATGTTACTTTAACAAAGCCTTTGGGGAAATGTCATAATATCAGTCATGCTCAACTTCTGGTGACTTCGTGGATGTATCACTCTAATTCTCTTGGCCACACTACAGAAGCAGTTAGGGATTCCTCCAAGATGGTTTTTTTTTTTCAACTTCCCAATGCTGGAAAATCTGCGATTCGGTTCTCTACCATCCAAGTCAAACTGGACCAGACTTCACCTACCTTCCAAGCCTAGACAAAATTGCCTGTTGTAAAAGCCATCCAAAGCACAGGGGGGAAAAAGAAGGCAGTCTAGCATTAAGGAACATGCCCTCTACATTTTTCTTCTAAATTCTCCTCCTCTCTCAACAGTATATGGTTGAGATACATCAAGGCTACGCTTGCCTCCTTAGGCTTATTTTTCCAGGTCACATGTGCTCTCGCCATTACGTTTTCCCCAAGGATGGATTGAGAGCAATAGCCTTTTTCCTTAGAATCTCTTGATTGTTCTGTTTGAATAATTTAATTGGGAGAATGTAGTCTTTGTGGTAGACATGACACGAATATCCAGGTTCTTTCTTTTGGAAAATTAGAATCGCTTTTACTTTAGGAAGCTTTGAACTTAACTAATTATCCTAAAAGACAGGAACACAATTTTCCAAGAGTGAATATCTGAGATTATAACACCATTTCAGCAATTTTCCTTTTTTTCTCTCCTTGTCATCAAAACATCATCCTCACATAGCCTTATATAGCAAATAAATTAGAAAGTGCAAATGACAAATAATGAGCATTCTGTTTACTCTGCAAGTGCAAAGACTATCACTCATTTAAAAATGAATCCACATTTTCATTTATAAAGTTGTGTTTTTAAGAGGTTAGTAATCATCAGTTGTCTTAAATAGCATTTATAGGAAGGGAAATATGCTTTTATTAAAGTTGGTTCAAATGTTCATTAATATTTATAAGCTTCTCTACTTTCTGAGGTTTTTGTTTTACCATGTTTTGATATCAATTCTTATTACTGATATGGACACCAAAACCATTTTTTGCTTGTTAATCTTTTATACAAAATAATATATTTTATTATTCTTTATGTGCAATCACAATCTAAACAGTGAATCTTTGGCAGAACTAATTCTGCCAATGATCATTCATAATTTCTTTCACTAAGATAGTCATGAATTTTTAATTCTAAATGGTGGTGGAGAAATCTTAGCAAATATGTTTATTATTTGCTGATTAAATAAATAATTTTGATCCTGAAAGGCCATTTTAGATTTATTTACATCTGAGCATTTAGTTGCGAAGTAGAATTCAATCAAGTTTGTTCTCTGTCTCTCTCTCTCTCTTTGGTAAGTTCTGAAAATACTGCCAACAGCAGATTTTCAGGATGTGGCAGTAAATAGTTTTGTTTTTTTTCCATTCCTTCACACAGGATGGACTGAAGCCTTAGACCCGGCTTTTAACCACCATTCTCATTCTTGCAGGCAAATGTTGGTGTGTTTTTTTGTAAGAACATGTTATATACATTAAGTAGACAGCTTTACCCATGGTTTTTTTCCCCTTCTGGTTTCCACTTGATTGTAGGAATTCCTTCTCCATGCTGAAAGTTAAGAGAGGGAGAAAATGCGAGACAAATGACATATTTTTATCTGTTTTCAGGTTTTGATGGCTATAAGGATCCTTAATGGCAAGATTGTTACATATTCTTGTTTCTAAGGTTCTTTGTGTATTCTGCAGAGGTACAGATTTTGTTCTTTTTGCGGGGGTTCTGGAGGAAAAAAATGGGGTGCTGAAGAGAGAAGGATCTAAGGGAAAGACATATATCCCACTAATTTTCAGTTAAAAGTAGCTTAGGGTTTGACCTGAAACCTGAGCAGATTTGATCAGTTCCATGTTTGTCTTGTAAAATGAACTCTGGTATTCTGATGAAATTTCGTTGCATTTTGTTCAATCAAGTTTGGATAGTGTTAATGATTTTATATTTTTATATTTATGGCTTAGTCAATCTGTGCCTAATTGCATTTTTGTAATTGGTGCCTCATTTTTTAATCATATATTTACTTGGAAGTTAAGTGCATTTGTAAAAATATTATCAATATTTTAGGATGCAGCTTAAAACAGGTTCTAAAAAGGCGTACAGTGCCAGCATTTCTTATGGAGTCATTTTGACCTTGTCCTCAAATAGCAATTGAATGAATAGTTTGAATTGTGTTTCAGGAACAAACTAACACTTTGCTGTAAGTGTTTCTAACCCTGTTCATTTACTATTTTTAACTATAGAACTGGCTACTTGCAGATTCATCATAGGAGATAAATTTTCACATGCAGCCTAATCCCAATATTAATTTCCTACTTTTGATGGAGATGGAATGCATTCCTGAGCCATTTTAATGTGGTTGAAAAATCTACTGGGATAAGCAGCGAATTTCAGACCAAAAAAGAAAAGTCCAGTTGCCATGACTCAAGTTCCAGTTATCCTAGGCAATCTTCCTACCTTTCCTTTTGGCCAAATTGAATTCCTTCCTTATAAGCTTATCAAGTAACCACTCGTCTTTTAGCTGCCCTTCTTTTTTCTGAAATAACAGTCATTGTGTGCTGACAGATAACTTTAACAAAGTTTTTGTTTGGTCTTAAGCACTTCATAGCAAACTGGCTGTCTTTGTTACTGCTTCAAGTTGGTACAATTTGCTGCTAAATATAAACATGAAGTTTAAATTGTATAATTTATGTGTTCTGCAAGGTGCTATAATTACTAAAACCTACCTCATCCTTGAAGAACACACACATTTAGTGTAAGAAAATGGAATGGTGCTAGCAAATTACATATCAAGTTGCATAACATAGATGGAACAAATAGGGATGTTGCTATAATGGATAAGTATTTTGTAGCATATTGCTTCATCAGTGAAACCGAAAACATTGGCACTGTGATTTCCATCCATATGGTTTGCAGTGTAATCCACTAAACTCAATGCATCCCAATAAAGTTTTGGATTGCTGACTAAACATTTGAAAAACAACATAAATGTGAGGCTACTTTGGTATGATGTGAACAAGCACTTTGACACTGTACAGTGTGGGTTCATGCTATTTATTATTAAATTTATTTGCTACCCATCTTGTAGTTCAAGGCGACTCTGAGTGACTTTGCACCTACCCAAAATGTGATTTGTAGGGATATACCCCAGCATTTTAACCAACCATT